AGGCGATACGGATGGCATACCATTTGCCCCTTCCCGTGCCTGAGCATGATGACTTCTATGAGTATGGACGGCACCCAACTGACGCGAAGTGGGAGCGATTCTTCGATGCAATTTGCTCACCCAGAAAAGAGGTGGAATGGATGCAATACGGTGAGAAGTTTCACTCCTCAGTTTTATCCCCTGAGGCGAAGAGCTGGTTGTATGTGGTTAACAGCGGTCTCATTCCGCACGAAAACACCACGGAGGTAAATGCACCCCGAGCCGCCTTGATTTGGTGTTTCATGAAGGGTCTTGACTTTGATATAGCCAAAGTAATGCACGAAGAGATGTTCGTTCGCTGCCCAGTGAGAAGGTATGGGTTCTTTTTCCCCTCTCTAGTGACTCAGCTTTGCAGGCAAGCTCGGGTGCCCGAGAATCTCCGAGTGGATGGGCTAGTACGAAATGGTCTCAAGGTCCGACCTGACAAAGGCACCACGGCGACAGTGCCAGCAACATCAGGTGGAGCGGACGAGAGTGGCTCTGATGACTCGCAAGAAGGGGTGGCCGATCAGATGAATGTGGAGGGCGAAACACATGCCCATGAACCCACCGCCGCAGCTGCAGCACTGTCCAGAGTAGCCTCATCTTCAGGAACTGCCAGAGTGTCCCGTTTCACCGCGTTGGAGCAGGAGGTGGCAGGTTTACGCTCCTCCGTGACTGAGTTGGGTACTCGTGTAGACGCAGTGGCTACCCAGCAGGCGAAGTCTGAGAAGAAATTTTTGGGTTGGCTGAGAGCTTTGGGGCGTGCATGCCATGTGAACCCCGACACTGTCTCCGACCAGGAGTGAGCATTCAGGGAAGTTCCTTTACCTCACTAGTACTTCAATTCTTAAGCCATGGGGACATGTCTTCACTTTAAGTGTGAGGTGGGGGATACTTCAGTGTATATATGTAATTGTATCATTTGTACTGCTTGTATTTGTGNATTGGCTTGTCTCGACGACGGATCTCTTTCAGCGGGGTTCTTGAGGGACTAAGTCGATCAATCAAAAACGAGAAAAAAAATGGAATATGAAGACTCTTCCTGATGACGGATCCTTTGGACAATTTTCTTGAGGGAATTTAGTCTAGAAAAATACCAAAAAGATTTTTATTTTTATTCTTTTATTTTTAGGTAGTGTAGTAACTCCCCCTTGGTTTTTCTTTGGGCCACGGTTCTTTTCCAAGGGTTTAAACTTGAACCGGGTATAGGTAAATTTTTTTTGTTAGTTTATATCTTTTTTTTATTTTTGATTTGTAGATTAGGTTTAATGCGCTACAAGCTAGAGAATCAAAAGAGAACCTATAGCGTTGACACACCTGAACACAACAGAAACTAGAGTGTAACGCTTAGTCTTATTGTTTGAATTTCACTGAAGTGCCTTAATTTGTATGTTTGTCACTGACTTGAATACTCATAATGGAGTGTCTCGATGAGTTGATCTGGAATGAGTCATATGCCATGTGTGGTGAGGTTTTTTGTGCAATCCATGTGTTGCATTTGTATCTAGAACTTGCCCGGTATGTGAGTCGAAGCGAAATTTTAGGTGATGCTCGGTTTGAGAAATAATTTTGGGCTTTCTTTGATCTTTTTGAGCTTTAATGCTTATCACAAATAAAATCTATCCCTAGTTAACCCTTTTGAGCCTGTAGACTTTTATTTGGCACCCACATTACAAGCCTATACCCTTTTTATTCTTAATTGGCATTGTTTTGATCCCTTTTCCTCTTAAAGCACTTTAATCATGAGATGAGCGCTAAAAGAAGTAATAAGGAATTAAGAGTGGGGTGGCTTTTGAGTGGAACCAATGAAAGAAAGAAGGGTGCACTTATTCTGTAAAATAATACACCACTAGCGAAATTTGGAAAAGAAAAACAAAATCTGGAAAAAAAAAAAGAGATAAACAAAAGAGAATAAATTGTTGTCCTATTCTTGCTAGTGGGAAATACATTAAGGTAGTGCTTAAAGAGAAAGGGAACATTGTTGGGAGTGATTTTTGTGAAAAATTGAAGTTGGGATTGAAGAAATTGCGCTTAAAGTTGGTTATGTGATGTGTTAAAGTGCTTAGGAGGGTTAGTCACTATTCCTAAATATATCCTACCCGTCCCTTATCCCACATTACAACCATGAAAAAGTCCTAATTGATTTTAGATCGAGCGAGCCTACATTAGTAGTGATTTACATTAAGGGCAAGCTTATGGTACCAATTGCATGCATGTGACGTCTTTTGTGAGTGTGAGTGATTTTTTTTTATATATGTGAGCATGAAATTCGAATGTGTGGATTGATTCTACTTTCTTTGCTATGATTGTGAGGGCATGTGACTCGTGAAGGAAAAGAAAGTCTTGGCTTCTGTGTAGAGTAATTTGAGAAAGTATGAATATTGCGTGGCACTTGAGACTCGACCTTTGAGGCTGAGATTGTTCACTACTAGGCGTAGCATATGTGAATTGTTCTGGGTGTAATGTGTTAAGGGAAATTGTTGAGTGGAACCTCTAGAGAGTATAGTTTGATTGCTTGAGGACAAGCAATGAATTAAGTGTGGGGTGTTGATAATAGGCTAAGTCTAGGTGATTTGGCGATTGTTTATGCTCCCGCTTGATTATGTTTCAATGTCATAATATGATTAAATGATGAAAAATGGGCTCTAATTGTGAATTTTACACATTGCAGGATGGTGAGCCTATATGATGCCTTAAAGTTGTGATTGGAGTTGCATTGGAGCAAGAAAGACCCCTCGGAGCTAAGTGCGCGCAAAGACGAGAGAACGAAGTGAAGAAAAAATGGCCTGAACTAGCGCGAAGCCTAGCGCGAGGTCTAGCGCGTTCGCGCTAGTCCAGAAGCAGGAGGCAGAATGTCAGGGAATTAGCGTGAACTTTAGCGCGTTCGCACTAGTCCCAGTTCCGGAAAGGGTCTGTTAGGGGCAAAATCGGAAATTTGGAGGAATTTTCACTTAACCTATATAAAGTCAAGCTCGCTCAAGGAGTAAGATATCAAGGTTTTCATAGTTTAGTGCAAGAAACATAGAGGCAAGAGGCAAGGAGGAAAATCCAACATCAAGTTCTTCTTTTCTTCTTCTTGTTTTTACGTTTTGAATGAAATTAAACTTTATTGTGATGAACACTAGTATGAGTGGCTAAAACCCATTGTTCTAGGGTCATGGGTGAAACATGAATTTTGTTGTTTGAAGTTTAATTCGACAAAGTTGGTTTATCATATTGGGTTGTTTATTTAATTCTGCTTTTAATTATTTTGCTGAGTAGCTAACAGTAAAATACTATCTACAAATCTTTAGTTGAACTCGAAAGTGGGAACTTTGGAGTGCATATAGAATTAAATAGAGCAAGTTCTTGAACCCGTGTATCGGGGAACAGATTCGTATTTAGGATAGACATATACCTAATTGCCTTGCTTGTTTGAAATACAGGATTTATGAATGCATTTTTGTTGAGTCTAACTCCATAGACATATAGGCGTTGGGTTAACGTGAATAGGCGAGTAAGAATTCGACAGATTCTTATGAGCAATATTAACCCTGTCAATCAACAACCAAGATAAATTAGTTATTTTAAGCCAAGAACGCAACATGATTGTTAACTAGCCCGTGACCCTGGAATATTCTCCTCTACTGATTTTCATTCGAAATTGCTATTTGTTTGGTTGATTATTTTAGTTAGTTTATTAATTGATATTTTAGGTAGTAAATTAAAGACGAATATCTTTTGTGAAAAATCTCTTGGATCGATAAGTTAATTGAGTTTAAATCAGTCAATAGTTAATCACGAATCTTCGTGGGAACGATACTCTACTCACTACTTTATTACTTGACGATCACGTGCACTTACGTGAGTGTTTTGATCGTAACAACATGCTCCACTTGGTTGAGCAGATGGTTTGCTATATACATGGCTCCAATTGGCGGGGCAAGTGGCTCCCTATATACAACATGCTCCGCTCGGTTGAACAGCCAGTTCGCTATTTACAATATGCTCCGCGTGCGTCGGCTGACTAGTTCCGAAATACCTGCAAAGGACTTCAGAGTTATTTTTTAATTATATGGGGAAAATTTGAATAAGGAAAGAGGGATGATAGTTTTGAGAGAACAACGGATCCATCATTTACCCTAGTGTGTTCTAGCATTTCCTTTTCTCCTCTTAGCCCTTCATTCAAAGAAATATTTTGAGCAAGGTGGGGTTTGTGGCTTGTGTCAACCGTAGTCTTGGCTTTGCCCCGTTCTTGATGAGGTCACTCCATGAAGTTTGGTAGGTTGAACGGATTATGATATTTTTAGAGAAGTTTTTGAAAGTCTTTTATCTTTTAACAAATGTCGTCATTCTAGATTATGACATGTTTAGGAAGTTCTTCATACTCGAACGTTGTTTTTGGAAGACTCTGTCCCATTGATGTCGATCCTCCAAGATGCTTCTGACGACGTGGCTTCTTGCCGCTGTAATTGCGTCCTAATCTAAACTAATGCATTACAGAGGTTTCCTAGGGTTATGAACGAACCTTTTCAGCTTGCCTACATATCCTAAACGGAATCAGGTCCAAACATACTTCAATTACAATAGATGCAAAATGATGAGAATGAAAATTAAGTGGTCGAGTCTCACTCATACTGGCTAATTATCCTAATGGAATCGGGCTAGAACGTAGTTCAATTACAAAAGATGACTAAATCCGATGAGGATTGCCTACGTATGTCCATAGGAAATCACGTCATGGCGTAGTTCCGATTACATACAAAATGGCATTTGAATTTCCTATTACAAAATAAGAGGGGGGGGGAGAGAGACCGGACCCTGCGTGTGTGGCCTACGTATCCCTCTATGGGAAGTCAGGTCAAGTGTAGTTCTGTTACAACCAAAAGCTAACTCTACTTTCTTCAAATGTAGTATCTCTTGATTGTGTCTGAGTTAATAGGCTTTGTGCTGACTCTTCCATCCATCTTCGCCAAGATCAGAGCTCCTCCCGACAACACTCAGTGGATCGCATAAGGACCTTGCCAATTTAGCACAAACTTTCCCATGGATTCTTCTTGATGAGGGTATATTTTCTGCAAAATCAATTGCCCTGGTGTAAATTGGCGAGGTTTCACCCTTTTGTTTAATGCACTGGCCATCCTATTTTGATACAGCTGACCATGGCATACTGCATTAATTCTCTTCTCATCAATGAGCATGAGTTGCTCCTGCCTGATCTGTATCAATTCTGCATCATCTAACTTGGCTTCTTGAATAACTCTTATGGATGGTATCTCGACTTCTACGGGTATCAATGCTTCAGTGCCATATACCAACATGTATGGCGTTGCCCCAATGGATGCCATCATGGTAGTCCGATAACCTAGTAAGCCAAAGGATAATTTCTTGTGCCACTGCCTATGATTGTCCACTATCTTTCGACGAATCCTTTTGATGTTTTTGTTGGCTGCTTCAATTGCTCCATTCATTTGTGGTCTATAGGTTGTAGAGTTACGGTGGACAATTTTGAACTTATCGCAAATTTCCCTCATGAAATCACTATTGAGATTAGCTGCATTTTCAGTGATGATTGACTCGGGTATCCCAAACCGGCAGACTATGTTTTTACGAACAAAATATACCACTACTTTCTTCTTGACGGCGTTGTATGTAGAAGCTTAGACCCATTTGGTGAAGTTATCAATTGCTACCAAGATAAAACAGTGTCAATTTGGTGCAGCGGGCTCTATAGGTCCGATTACGTCCATGCCCCAAGCGGCAAATGGCCAAGGGGAACCCATTACGTTTAGATCATTAGGTGGAACCCGGATGTAATCCCTGTGGATCTGGCACTGGTGACACTTCTGCACATAGAGGATACTATCGCTTTTTATGGTCATCCAAAAGTATCCGGCTCTTAGTATCTTCTTGGCTAAGATGAAGCCATTCATGTGGGGTCTGCACGTCCCTGCATGTTCTAATAATCGGGTTGCTTCATCAGCATTTACACATCTTAACAGACCCAAGTCTGAGGTCCTCCTATATAGGACTTCCCCATTGAGGAAAAAGTGATTTGCCAGCCTTCTGAGTGCGTGCTTCTGACTATTGGCAGCATTCTCTGGATACTCTCTTGTTTCAATAAACCTTTCGATATCGTAATACCACGGCTTAATGTATGGCTCTTCATCTACATGGAAGCAGTACGCATGTTGATCCCGCATCTCTATCTCGATAAGGTCGATGTAATTCTTACCTAGAGGCTGAATCATGGATGACAAGGTCGCAAAAGCGTGGGCAAACCCGTTGAATCCTAGGAATGTGCTTAAGCTCGATCTTTGTGAAATTTTTGTATATTTCCTTTGTGCAGTGCAGGTACGGAAGGATGTTGACGTTCTTTGCAGTCCATTCTCCTTGAATATATGTGCCAACAGATCAGAATCTCCTATGACCAGAAGCTCCTTGATGTTCATGCAACCACCAACCTAATCCCGAGGATGTATTCTTCGTACTCGGCCATATTAATGGTGCATGGGAACCTTATCTTGGCTGATGCCGGGTAATATTGTCCTGACGCTGAAAGTAGGACTACTCCAATTTCTGCTTCTTTGAAATTTGAACTCCGTCGAAGAGCATTCTCCACCCTGGATATGACTCTGCAATATCTTCTCTGACGAACAACACTTCTTCATCTGGGAAATATGTGGTTAGCGGCTCATAATCCTTGCCTACCGGGTTCTCTGCAAAGTGGTAAGCTATGACTTATCCTTTGATGGCCTTCTGTGTTTTGTACACAATGTCAAATTTGCTAAGAAGAATTTTCTATTTAGCCAGTTTTCCTGTAAGCATCGACTTCTAAAGGATATACTTGAGCGGATCGAGCCAAGATATTAGATGAGTGGTGTATGCTGACATGTAGTGCCTCAAATTCTGAGCGATCCAAGTCAAAGAACAACAAGTGCGCTCTATCAGAGTGTAATTGGCTTCACATGGTGTAAACTTCTTGCTCAAGTAGTATATAGCTTGCTCTTTCCTCCCGATCTCATTGTTTTGTTCCAACACGCATCCAAACGCATTGTCCAAAACTGAAAAATATAATAATAATGGATTCCTGGACTCGAAAGGAACCAACACTAGTGGATTTGACAAGTAATCCTTGATCTTGTTGAAGGCTTTTTGACACTCTTCTGTCCATCTTGTAATGGCATCCTTTTTCAGCAGCTTGAAGATAGGCTCACAAATTATCGTGGACTGGGCTATGCATCTGCTGATGTAATTTAGCCTACTAAGAAAACTCATCACATCCTTCATGCTCTTGGGCAGTGGCAACTCTTGAATGGCTTTGATACTTGAAGGATCCAATTTTATCCATTTCCTGCTTACGATGAAACATAGTAATTTTCCAGCAGGGACTCCAAATGCACATTTTACAGGGTTCAATTTCAAACTATACCTCCGCAAGCGCTCGAAAAACTTCTTCAGGTCGTTAAAATATTCTAAACTCTTTCAAATCTTGATGATGATGTCATCCACATATACCTCAATCTCTTTGTGGATCATATCGTGAAAGAGGGTTGTCATGGCCCTCATGTAAATGGCACCGGAGTTCTTGAGGCCAAATGGCATGACCCTGTAGCAGTAAACTCCCTAAGGCATAGTGAATGTTGTCTTCACTGCATCTTCCTCATGCATCAGGATCTGATGGTACCTGAGGAAACAATCCACGAATGGCTGCAGCTCATGCTTTGCACATTTTTCGATGAGGATATGAATATTTGGTAAAGGGAAATCATCCCTTTGGACTATCCTTGTTAAGATCTCAATAATCCATGCATATCCTGATCTTCCTATCCTTCTTTGGTACTTGTACAATATTTGCCAACCATGTGGGGGTAATTGGTGACTCTCACCACAACTACCTCTATTTTCTTGGTTACTTCTTCATTTATCCTCAAACTCAAATCTGACTTGAATTTTCTAGGTTTTTGTTTGACTGGCAGTCTAGCAAGACCGGTAGGCAGTCGATGCGAAACTATGTCAGTGCTTAAACTAGGCATGTTGTCATTTGACCATGTGAATACGTCGATGTAGTGTGAGAGGAGCTCGACCAATTCTTTTTTCTGCTCTGCTTCCATATGGATGCTGATTCGAGTTTATTTCACATCTTCTTCACTTCCCAGGTTGACTAGTTGTATTTCCTCAAGGTTTGGCCTTTCTGTCTTTCCAACTGTTCCGTAACGACCAGGCCGGTCATTTTGAGTATTGTAGCCTCGTTCTCCTATTTATTGCTTATTATATGCTCATTAGTTGATATGTCACTTTTCGGGATGGTTGGTTTAGTTCCGGGGATGTTTCAAAATAAATTGGGACACTTGGTCCCAAGGTTAGAAGCGTAAGTTGAAATAGTTGACTGGATGTTGACTTGTGGGTAAATGACTCCAAAATAGAGTTTTATGGTTCCAAAAGCACCGTATGGTGATTTTGGACTTAGGAGTGTCTTTGGACATTGATTTGGAGGTCCGTAGATAATTTTTGCTTGAATTGGCGAAAGTTGAAGGAGTTGAAGTTTGGAAAGTTGAGAAGTTTGACTGATAGTTTACTTTGTGGTTACCAGGCTTGAATTTTGGTTCCAAAAATTGGAATAGGTCCATTGTGTCATTTATTACTTGTGTGCAAAATTTGATGTCAATCGGAGTTCGTTTGTTAGGTTTTGGCATTGATTGTAGAAGTTGGAAATCAATTAATTTCATTAGGCTTGAATTGGGGTGCAATTCGTGTTTTGATGTTGTTTGATGTGATTTGAGGCCTCGACTAAGTTTGTATGATGTTTTGGGATGTGTTGGTATGTTTGGATGGGGTACCGGGGGCCTCGGGAGTAATTCGCGTTGAAATCACAATGAGTTTGGACTTGAGAAAATGCGGAGTGCTTCAGGTCTGGTGCGATCGCACCTGCGAAGAATTTGGTCGCAGGTGTGAGACCATTAAAGCAAGTTTGCCATCGCAAGTGCAGTTTTAGCTGGGGCTCAAGGGATGCGCATGTGCGAGGTTTTGTCCGCATTTGCGGGATCGCAGATGCGAGAAGTGGAGCGCAAGTGCGATTTGGGCAAGGAAAAGGAGTTACTGCATAAGCGGAAAGGAGGTCGCTTGTGCGACCCGCAGAAGCGGATCCTGGTCCATAGAAGCGAAGGCAGGGGTACTTCATGGAAACCGCAGAAGCTGAATTTTGGTCACGCCTGAGGGGCCGCATATGCGGTCAATTTAACTGCATGTGCAAAAGCACTGGCAGTGTATTAATTCGAAGGGTTCTGAGATTTATTCATCTTTTGACTTTGCAAGCTCGGGTAGTGGCAATTTTTGGGAGGTGTTTCACTAGATTTCAAGAGATAAGCCATTGTTGATCACTTTTATTCATTACTATTGATTACTCATTGAATTTCCCACCCAGATTATGTGTTTTTAGGAAGAATTTGGGGAATTTTGGACTAGGAATTGGAGAGTAAGATTTGGGGATTTGAGTGTCGATTTGTAGTCGAAATTGGGTGATTTTTGTATCGTTGGACTCATTGTTGAATGGATGTTTGGAGTTTGTAAATTTTGTTGGATTCCGAGATGTGGGCCCAGGATTGACTTTTGGGTTGACTTTTTTATTAAAATACCTAGATTTATCATATGGAATTGATTCCTATAGCTTGTATTTATTGTATTAAGTTGTTTTTGGGTAGATTCGAGTTGTTCAGAGGCTGATTCGTGAGGCAATGGCTTGTTGGAGTAGAGATTTGTGCGGTTTGAGGTAAGTAACACTTCTAAACTTGATTCTGAGGGTATGAATCCCAGAAATATGTGTTATGTGGTTGGTGTTAAGGTGATGCACATGCTAGGTGACGGGCGTGTGGGCGTACACCGTGATAATTGTGACTCGGTCGATTTTCGTGGTACTGTGTAATTATCAAACCTTAATTCTATTCATCTGATTCCTATGTGTTAGAGTAATTAAGATGAAATCCACGCCAGAAATCATGTTTAGGCTATATGCTTCTTCTGTTGGGACCCACTGGGGTTATTTCTGCTTTTAATTTATTTGCTTAAATGGTAATTATGTAATCATTCACATCCATCATTTGTATATCCTATCTCAGTCTCAGTAACTATTTATTGTTTCATAATTTATCATTGTTTGGGATGTTTGGTATGAGATTAGTGAGCGTAAGAGACTAAAAAGATTGATGACTAAGTTGGGGCCTGAGAGCCGTATTGTGAGTAAGGTATTGGATTGGATGCACGCAACAGTCTTGGCTTTATATATATTATTATTATGGATCGGGCTGCATCCCGCAGCAAGCCTTATAAGCTTTATATATTATTATGGGATCGGGCTGCACGTCCCAGCAGGCCATATTGGCTTTATATTACTGCTTGGGCAGGATTGTCCCCCGGAGTCTGACATACCAATAGTGAGCGCATGTACCGTACAGTGCTGAGTGATTGAGTGTGATGAGTGAGAGTTGTAACAGACAGATTGAGTACCCTGAGAGTGTGAGTACTTGAGGTTATCATTGTGATGCATTACATGTGAGATGCACATTTGCCATGTAGATATAGAGATGTAACATTCCTCATATCAGTCACACTTGGCATATCTTATCCATGTTGAACTTAAATAGTTAAACTTAAAAGCATGTCTACATTCTTATATTGTGTACAAATTGATTATGAGATTTCTCTGAGTTATTACTGTCATTTTTCCTGTCATATCTGTACTGTTATAATCATGATTTGGATTTTACCTATCTGAGCTCGTCACTGCTTTCAACCCAAGGTTAGTCCTGTTACTTATTGAGTACATTGGGTCGGTTGTACTCATACTACACTATGCACTTCATGTGCAGATTTGGGTACTTCTGGGCATGGTGGTTGTTAGACTTGGAGTACTTCTTGCTTGGAGACTTTTGAGGTAGCTGCCTTGGCGTCTGCAGACCTCAACTCTCCTTCTTTCCCTTTTTTCAGCATTGCTCTATCTTTCCAAACAGTTGTATTGGAAGTTTTGATTATTTTGATATTTAGTAGTTCATGTACTCAGTGACACCTAGATTTTGGGGAATTTTGTATTTGAGTCGCAATATTTCTTATCGACTATTTATGAGAGTTATTACTGTTTAACCTGTTTCATCTTATTTTCAATTTAAAAATGTGTAGTTATTTGTGGTTATCGGCTCACCTAGTACTG